ATCATGTGGAATATGTGTCATATTCCAAGCCATTGGCAGTATGCTTATATCGACTTGAGTTTTTAGCGTTAAAAATTCATACGCTTTCGGCATCGAATGTGTATCAGATGAAATAACTTTCGACCCACCAACATTCCTGTAAACATTTGTAAAAAAATTTAGTAGAAAAAGCGCAGTATGCTTTTCAAGATATTCTAGCTGTTTTGCAAAATATCTGATGTTATGATTTTTTGCAAATATATTCATAAAGGAATTATCATCACGCATCTGATCGATTATTCATACTTCTTGAATAATCTGATCTGCAGTATTTGATTCATAAATTCGTTGTCAAAGTGAGCTGTAAAAATTTTCAACGTAGTAATCGTTAAAGATATGGATAGAACCTGTAAGAGTTTGTGAAATAGGGTGGTCAGTACTGAACCAGTAAAAGACATCACTTAAAAACATCAATGGCAGTTTATTATAATGTCTCTGTTGATACTGATGAAAAACCGTCCAAATGCGAAACATTGCTTCTAAGTATGCTTCACAATTTCTGCTTCGAAAAATAATGGGATAAAAATCTAAAACCAATGGGATGATATTATCTAACAAATTTATAAGATATCGGGCTTCAGGGTCCTTAAACCGTTTAAATTTTTGTATTACTATAGAATGGACTCGAGACCATTCCTGATATGTTAGCTCTAAAATTAAATTAATTTTATAAGGTTTTGGCTTTTTTGCTAATACCTTATTACGCCCAAAAACAGCATGAAAAAGTAAATCAAAAAAAATTATAATTTAACAAAAAAACTGTCTCACAACTATTCAAGGATACATGCAAAGGACCGATCATTAGAATAATACGTAAAATTTGCTTTGGTATTTTAGAAGAATCTCCAGATTTAAGACAACGGGTGATAGCACGCCATATGTTAAGTTGTTCAGAGTAATCCATAGGCACTATTAAAACTTGTTCCTTCATATAAGTTTCTGCTTCAAAAATCTTTATTAAAGATTTAATTGCATTTACGTAATCTTCAGTTGAATGAAAGGATCCTTTTTTTAAATCAACAAGTTTCGTGTTTTTCATACTTCGATCTATTCGTCGTTGCTTAATTCTATCATCATAGCTGTGAATTAGGAGACATTCAACTCGTTCGTCGTGAGTTTCTTCCACAAGCAAATCAGTAAATACATTTTTTCATCCTGTATAGCTAATCCATAAATGGGAAAAAAAGTAAATCAGCATTCTCAATAATTATATTTGAATCGATACCCTTTTCATTATGGATACTCTTTTCTTGATTGGGGTTATTAAACGGAATTGATGAAATTTCGGGCAATGCTTTTAAGAGTATTGTAATAAAATGTGTGATATCATGAGTGCTGGTTGTATCGCTACGACAGGATTCATGAATATTATGAAAGTCATCTACATTCAGTACAAGCAAGCTTTCGATCTGTCAATAAATAATATGCGCAGTTAGTTTTTTTTTTTTTTTTTAAAAAAAAAAAGCAGAATTATTTATAATTTATATAATTACA